AAAGGAAATTTTACTCCATGTAATGATTTCGTGAAATATGTCAGATCTTATGTTCTAAGCCAACTGAAACTGTTATGAATTCATGCCTGAAAATTGTACTCTTGAGTAATTGTTTTTCTCTTTTTGGTCCACGGTATTTTTTAAAAAAACTTTCTCCTCTTGCTTTTCCTTTTTTTTTTTTAAATCTCTGTTCCTTGACCCCTTGTCTTTTGCATGAGGCAGGTTAGTTGGCTCAGATTCAAAGTTGTGATTACTGATGGATACTGGCTCCATTTTTCTTCCAGCTTGTTTACTGCCACAAACTGCTTTACTCCACTGTTTCATTTTTTTTAAATAAAAGGAGGAAAAAATCCATTTGCTCTCTGTTTTCCATGAGTAATTATTTCCACATTTTATTTAGGTAATTAAGTATTATTAAAATCCATGTTGTGAGTGGGTGGTTAGCGAAACTGAAAGTAAGAGAAGAGTGGCTTGCTGAAGACACCACGAAGATGATTGAAAAGGAAATTCAGAACAGAGATCTCTTGATTTGTAGTTTTGGCTCTTCAATCTTACCAACCCTCAGATTTGTTTCTCAAAAGCTACAAAATTTCCAAATCCATCCTATAATTTTTAGGTGGGTAGTTGGGTAGGACCTTCTCTTTAACATGTAAAAATTACAGTTCACACACACTTGAACTTGTGAATCAGGAAAGAATGCAAAGAACATACAGATAGAAGGATTGTAGATTCATAATGTTTACATTAGTGGAGCAACATAGCACATAGTAATGAGGACGGTACAGGTAGTCCTCGATTTATGACCACAATTGAGTCCAAAATTTCCATTGCTAAGCAAGATAATTGTTAAGTGAGTTTTGTGCCATTTTATGACCTTTTTTGCATAGTTTAAGGGAATCATTGTAGTTAAGTTAGTAATACAATGGTTAACTGAATCTGGGGAGGCTTTGACTTTGCTTGTCAAAAAGTTGCAAAAGGTAATCACATTACCCTGAACCCTGCAGCCATCAGAAATACATGCCAGTTGCCAAGCGTCCATATTCTGATCACAGAGCCATGGGGATGCTACAATGGTCATGTGAAAAACAGTTTCAAGTCAGGTTTTTTTAGTATCATTGTAACTTTGGCCACTAAACAAATAATTGTAAATTGAGGACCATTTGTAGTTTGAAGGCAGTTTTTTTTTAAATAATAATAATACAAAACCCTTGGATTTTCTGATCCTGATTTGTTTTCTTAATTATTGGGGCTCTTAATGGCCCTACTGCCTTCCTTTTCCAATTTGGTTTCCCTCAATGGTGTTGCATTTTTCACATAATCCATAACTAACCTGTTATTCTGACACCAACGCAGTAGGAGGTTGCCAGGTTAGAAGATACTACTATAAATATGATGAGAATTAACATTTGGTGCTCTGGAATTCAGCAATCTGGAAAAACCTGGTCTTTGAGTTCATCATCTTAACTCAGTGTTATATGTATATTTGCAAATAGAAATAAGTATGCATATATCACGGGGGGGATGAAGAATTTCTGCATGTTGCTACTCCATGCATAACTTAGTTCAATCCAAAAGACAGCCATTATGTACATTGAGCAGCAGTCTTTTCAGGAACAGAAGAGTCTTGTGGCTTTCATCTTTCTCTTAAGACTCCTAGTGCTTATTGCAGCTACATTTGCAGAATTTGGGATGGTGGGTATTTAACTTAAAGTTGGACAAGAGCCTGCTTTATTTTTATTGTTTTTAATTTTAAAGAATTTAAAAAAATTAAAAAACGCAGTTCTCTTTAAAATAAAGATTAATGGGGCAAGAACATTCTATAGATTTGTTGGTGGGGCCAAGAGAATTCAATTATTGGGAATAATTTTCTTGGTGTATGCGTATAAATGGAAGGTAATTTGGACCCATCGTTTATCACATATTTCCATGATTTATTCCTTTTTACAAGAGCTGAGATGTATTGGGGGAAAAGGTTACATAACGACAATCTTCTAAAGATCATTATTAAAAAATGTTTCCTGAAAGTTAGCTTTAAAGTACAGAGAAAATTTCAAGAAAGGAAATCAGATTTGAGGGAATAACAGCTACCAGAAATTTTGAAATGGAGCAACCTATACAGCAGTGGTTCTCAACCTTTTTAATGCCGCGACCCCAACCGGTCGTAAGTCGAGGACTAAACCGGTCGTAAGTCGAGGACTAAACCAGTCGTAAGTCAAGGACTAAACCGGTCATAAGTCGAGGACTACCCAACTGGTTCCGCCCCCTGCGCCGGCCGAGGCGTAGCTGGCAAGCGGCAGAGACGGAGCAGGCCGACCACCAGCTGGCCCAGCCCAAGGGAGGTAAGGCACCTGCCGGAAAAGGGGGAAAAAATGGCGGATAGCCTTGCTTGGCGACCCCCATGAAATGGTCGATCGACCCCAAATGGGGTCCCGACCCACAGGTTGAGAACCACTGCTATAGAGGATGGAGAACTGCACAGTTAACTCCTTATATAGGGGAGTTCCTAGTGAAAAGTCTCAAGAAATTCTTAAACGAGAGTAAGCAAATCCTTATGAAAATTTTCTTCACTCAGGAATAAGCCATTCTGGTTACTGGCTACTGCTAAACTACAACTCACAGAAGTCTTAAATATGACCCATAATGAATCTAGAATGGGGCAGGTTATTCATTACTATCCTAGAGCAACCTGGGATAATGAAGATTAAAGTTCAGGAATTGACTTTACAAAAGTAAAATGAAATGCAAAAAGCAAATCGTACTGAGAAAGTACAATTAGTGACAGTAGGATTGTGCCGTTCATTGTTGGTAAATTACTTTAAATATTCAGAAGTACTTCACATGCATTATCTAGTTATATTCTACTTCAGCCCTAAAAGGTAAGTCAGTCTGATTATCTTTCATGCTGTAGACCAGTGTTTCTTCAACTTTTTTCTTTCAAGATTCCTTCACACATTTAAAAATTATGGAGGACTTCAAAAGATCTTTTGTTTATAGGGTTTACATTAACATTAATTAATATTAATATTTATTGTATTAAAAATAAAATTGATGTATTTGCTGCTATTGCATCATGATTCTGAGAGACTCAAATCAAAGTTTTCCAGCCTATGTTGAGAAATTATATATTAAAAATCCCATGAAGCAATAATAAGATGCAGTAGCGGCAGCAAATACATCAGTTTGGTAGTCACCTTCAGTCCTTGGACCATATTTTAAGAAACAATGTAGACAGAAAAGGCAATTTCTCCAATCAAGGCATCTAAAACATTTATGAATGACGAGATTGAAACAAGAGACTGCTCATAGCTCTGTTTTTAGCTACTATAATATATTGTATCAGTCCACTTCCAATGAATTTGACACATTGACAGGCTTTTATCACATAATGTGAACATCTTTTAGGGTGCAACAAGACTTTTGTTAGTTTAGGTAGGATAATAGTATGGTGCTTTTTGAAGAATGCATATGACAAATTTTTGCAGGGGGAGAAACCACAGAGCAAAATATGGAAAATAAATATTCTCATTATATGTATAACTTGCCTAGGAATAGGAAGCATATCCTAACTTGATGTTCTCCTATGAGCAAAAAGCTGGATCTCGTTGAAGGGAGGGGAGGGGAAATAGTTTCCACCCGTTGCTTTTAGGTTACTTGTTTTGAACAACTTTTCTTAAAAAAACTTTGTACAAATATAAGAATAGCAAACCAGACGGAATTTAATCCAATGCTGAGCTTCATATTACACGGAATCTGGCAACAAACTCCAGTCCCCCTTTCCTTCTCAATTTCCAAGACAGAAAGGTCTGGAATTTGCATGAAAAGATAATGTTTAATCAAGGCTGTTTCAGTAATAGCCATGTTATATCCAATCATGGTTTACAACAATTTGGCTTATACCTAAAATGGGGCAAAACTCAACAATTGTCTTGCTTAGCAATAAAAACTTAGGGCTCAGTTATGTAAGTCAAGGATTATCTGTACACTGAAGTTTTAGGGAAGATGTTTCAGCGGCTTCCTTCACATCAGCAACTCAAGACTGGCTAATCTCTTGACTCCTCCCCTCAACTTAGCTCTGGATTCCACCATTCAATGTTTTAATCACTGCACCAAACTATTAATATTTGTCAAATTTTTAACTTACTGTAAACTGCTAAATATTGCTGATTCCGTAATGCCCAAAATATTAGAAATAAAACAGTTAATATCTATAGTTAACAACAGGAATAAGAAGCATGGTTTGTCTAAGTCAAGCAAGAGACTGGCTTTTCAATTCCTCCCCACAGTCCACTCTGAAGTCATTTTGAAATGGAACAAAAAGACTTTCTTTTATCTGGTCATAGAAAGTTAGAAAGTGGCCTTTAATTGCCAATCTCCAGGGGATTCATTCAGTGCAGACCAATTTAGAAGCAGTTTAATAACCACATCCTTTAAACATTGAGGTATTCTGCCCTTTTCCAGAGAGGCATTTAACACATTGTACAAGGCATCTGTAATATCCTCTTAGCTAGAAATTGCAAGTAACATTAGACAAAGCACTAGAAAACAAGTGGTGGAATGTACATCTCCAATTAGACTGTTCAATGTTATAGTGTGTATTCACAAGTAAACAATAGCGGCCTAAGAAATTTCTACATAGTGACATATTCATCTTAAAAGAAAAGGACAAAGACCATTTTAATTCTCCATGTACAAATGAGGCACCTGCAGATTTGGAGGAATAATTTGAAAAACTATTTAAAACTATTTAAAAAGTAAATAGAACAAGCTATAGGTTGTCACAAGAATTTGCATATTTATTGTTAAATATATAAAGATCTGGAGGAAAAGAGAATTCTTCCATTAGAACTTCCATAATAAAGAAGATTCACAAAGTACATTAAAAACAGTTATTTTTTGATGAAATCTGTAAAACATTGAATTGTCAAGAGAAAAAATACAATTCCTAAAACAATTAAAGTTGCTGAATCCATTCCAAAACTATTCAGATTTGGAAGAATTGATCAGTCTTTTGAATAGCATTTCATTCTCTTCTTAAAGTAATGTAAGGATAATTTAAACCTAATTTCTTTCTTACAGTTATTCCAAAATCATCTATACAATTTTTCAACATTAGCTTCTGGTATGTTGGTGTAAATTTGGTGTGACTGGTGACCAATGATAACATCATTGCAGGAGCCAATCCGCAAGCTTCCAAGCCCATCCATAAAATATTCTGAAAAGAGAGAGATATCCATATGTTAATCATAGAAAGCATTTAAGAAAAAATAACATGCAAGAATTGTATTCCCTCCTCATGCAGGGAAGATGTTTAGAAGAAAGTGGAGTCCACCCAGAAGACCTACGGCAGTGGTGGCGAACCTATGCCACGCGTGCCAGAGGTGGCACTCGAAGCCCTCTCTGTGGGCACATGTGCCATTGCCCCAGCCTCCCCTCCCCTCACGACCTCCTCACCAGCAGCCCCCCTGGAGGAGAGTCGCCCCCGAGCGTGGCCCACACGGAGCAGTGCAGCCAAGGACATGGCAGCCAGGCAGCGTAGACAAGACTCTGCCCTCACACCCCATCCCGCACAGTTGATGCTGCAGGGTGCGGGCAGAGGGCATGGCCGCCAGGGTGCTGCTGGGCTGCCTGGTTGATCTGCAGTGGGCCCTGGAGGCGGTGAGTGGCCCTGCAGGCAGGCGGGGTGGGGGATGAGGTGGGGCGGGGCAGGGGTGGGGCAGAGGATGGAGTGGGGGCAGGGCCAGTTTTTGGGCATTCAGTCTCTAAAAGGTTCGCCATCACTGACCTATGGGATGAACACAAATCACCTTTCTGCTGTCATTAAAAAAATAAGCCATTACATTATAACTGTCAATTCATTAAAATTAATGAAATTCTCTAAAGCAGCATCATCTCTTTCTCAGGAGGAGAAGCCTGGAACAAATGGGCTATCTTACTGAACAGCTCAAAAATGTTATTAAGATAAGAGATAAGATAACCTTTACTGTCATTTTTTTTTACTGTGGGCACAACGGCACACATCAAAAATGAAATTTAGTTGCCCGCTCTCAAAGTGAAACATACATGACACACACCTAAACATACTATGAACAACATATGTATAGACCCACATACCTACATATACGTAGCAAATAAATATTAAATACTGTCCAACTTAAATATATAACGGAAGGAGGAAGCTTGAGAGTTCACAAGGTTAATGTTGTGTGGAATGAAACTATGGCTGAATCTGGATGTTCTGCTACGGATACCACTATGCCTCCTCCCAGAAGGTAACAAAGAATATAGGTCGTGAAGAGGATGTGTAGTGTCCCAGATAATCTTACAGACCCTGCTCAAGCAAAGCTTCCGTGCTATGTCCTGGATGGGAGGGAGGGAATTGCCAATGATCTTTTTGGCCATTCTCACCACTCTCTGCACCGCCTTCCTGTCTAAAGCAGTGATTTATTTATTAAATTTATTTATTTATTTATTTATTAAATTTCTACCCCGCCCTTCTCCCAGCGGACTCAGGGCGGCTTACAGCCATCTAAAACAGGTACATAATACAAAAATACTAATTTTAAAATGTAATTAAAATAGAATATTAAATTATTGGCCTTTTCTTTTTAAAATTATTTTAAAACCAAATTAAGATAACCCTTAGGCCAGTCC